TATGGCTAGAAATTGGCCTCAATGATTTGGGATCGAGGGGGATTATCCCTCTTTATCCTGCCTCATCTCGTGTAGGCCTGGACAGCCTTCGTAGGTGGGCCCCATCCGTCGTCTACCCCGACCGCAAATGCGGCCGGTGTAGGCGCTTTGTGGGACCTCCTTTTGTCCTGGCTGGGCCCCGCCGGCTAGGGCCCTTTCTTCTGGCGCTCTTCTTGCTTCGCCGGCTCGTCTGTGTAAACCCCGGGGGTGGTGTCAAGTTTGTGTGTGGTATGGTTGGGTAGGGTAGTGCGGCTATGCAGCCTGGGATGCGCTTTGCTAAGGTATATGTTCGACTATTGTCAACTTGTGAAGGATGCAGTGGGAATGTGTTTACGGGCGTGAGGCGGAGGGTGGAGGTGAGGGGGGGTGGGGAGGAAGGTAATTGTTTATTCGCGCCACGCGCGCGCGCCCGCCATTATTCCATGGCTAGAAATTGGCCTCAATGATTTGGGATCGAGGGGGATTATCCCTCTTTATCCTGCCTNATCTATGCTAAAATAAAAACATTATAAAGGAACAATGATTTTTTTTTACAAAATTTTTGAGGCGACGGCTTTATCGATTCTAGTCCTACTAGAAAATGTGGATGTGGATAACTTCACACCCGTTTGTATTGCTTAATTTGTTGCTATGTCTTAGTTTATTTAGACCACTTGACAAAGTGGGTTACAGGCGAGGATTTATTTTGGTTTGGCGATAGCGATTGTGCCCTATTATCGCGATAGCCCCGCCAATTGTTGGCTAAGTAATTACTAATTAATTTGCTATTAGCTGATTGAAATTAGTGAACATTTAATTACAGTTCCATTTTAATGAAACAAAAAGACCAGATATAGAATTACATATGCATTTTTGCATATTCTTAACTTTTGAGATTTAAAAAATGTGTTTTTTATTCTAGATTGCGTAGTATCATTTTTATATTCAAGGATGCAAGCTCTAGCGAGTAAAAGAATATTCAAAACGCTAACGCCACTTCATAACTGTGTTATCAACCAATATATCGAAAACTGCTTCGAAATATTGTTAAAATTGTCGAAAATGGCACTTACTTAGTGATAAAGCCTTCAAAGCACGGTATAAAGATTGAAAACAGGTAGAAATTGCGCTATTTTTCAACTTGGAAGTTCGTTTTTGTGGTCTCAATATATTTTTTTTCAAATTCTGTGGCCACCATTTGAACGAGCATCCTTAAAATCATAAGTCTACAAGGTTATTAAAACTATGTAGTAACTGGTGCGACCAAAATATACCAAGTTAGTCACAAATAAGTACTGATAAAATCAATTTCCGATCAAATCAGAACCTATATTATTTTCTACAAAAAATACAGTTTTTGTTTGTTATATACTTTTGAATTGGTGTTCAATTGTTTTTCCGTTATCTGAACACTCTGCACCTAAAATTTAAGCTCTCAGAATTTGATATTCTCTTTCTTTTCTCAGCTGAAGAAATATTTAGATAGAATGAGAAAATGTGTAATAAATTAATAAAATTATCGAAAGAAAAAGAAAAGTGTTACTTTATTTATTTATTTTTTTTTTCTTGTATTACTTAACATGTATGGTCTATCCAACAGTGCCGAGGGTAGCAGATACAGCAACGTGAGAGAACACCTTTGTTACTAATGTGAAATTATATGTTGGCAACCCGTAGCCAGACATCCGAGACATCGTCTGGCCGTGACCTCCAAGTTCTGTGACCTACAAAAGGCCTCCTGAGAAATTTCGCCTTCTCCCTTACCTTAGCTTTGTTTTATTTTGATTCCAAGAAGACGTTGCCGTGCACATTTTTACGTGTTTCTCAGCAAATTAGACGAGGTTGTCTGCCGGTGACGTCCTGCAATAGAATCGTTTCCTTTGATAAAATTCGATGTAAATAAAGTATTTATGAAATAAAGTTAATAAATAGCAAAATCACTTCTTTTGTTCCACGAAATAATTGGCGATGACGTAGGGATTCGTAGATGCAGAGAATTGTGATTAAATAAAATTCTTCAATTATGTAGTTGTCTTACCTTGTGGTATTGATTATATTGCGAAAAATGGTCAAAAGTGCAAGACTATGCAAATACTAGGTACACTATTAACAAATCGTAAGCTGAAATTGTATGTTCGTCAAAATGATAAAATCAATTATTGTGAATTTGTCTTTACAGTTCCTATAGAAACATAGTGTTAATAAACATTTAGTATCTACATCATCATATACAGGGTGTACCACGGTGAAGAGACATTAAACATATTTCAGAGACTACTTCGATTTTAATTGAAAATTTGGGCTATAGTGTTTTCGGCATGCCCTTCTTAGCTAAAATAATGGCGTCCACCTAACGCTTCCAGTTATACCGGAGTTTGACGTAATCTTCGTTATTCTAAATGGAATACCCTGTATATTATTGCAATTTTGGATTCTACGTCAATTTTTATGTGAACTTTCAATAAAGGTTTCCTGTTCTTAAAGTTAACCGTTTTTGATATATTTAATTTTTTCAAAGAAAATTAAAAAAGCTCTCCCTAATTCAAAAAGATGTGCAAGTATCTTGTAATAATAAAGTTAGAGCTATAAAATATATAGGGGACATAACTAAAACTCTAAGTTTCCCTGCCATAAATTCAAAATGACTTACAGGGTTTTTACGGAACACCCTGTATATTTTTGCGCAACCTGATGAACAATTTTGTTCTCTTTCGAATGGTATAATGGTTTCCTATACGTATCTCTTCTGCTTTTTAAGGTATTTACTGTTTTTCGTGCAGTCAACAGATATCGCATAATTTCTTGCGAGGATGGATGTGAAGTTTTTAGTGGAACTTCAAAACAAGCACCTAACCTGTCACCAGTTTATTGTTGTCAATTTAACATATACAGTGAATGTTTATTTAAGTATTATTTATTGTTAAAGAATGGAAAACGTTAACGTTTATTCAAATGCTGACATTCTAAATTTATTATTTATTCATGGAGAGTGTCACAAGATAATAAATAGGACTTGCAGGGTATTTAATTAGAGATATCCTCATTTACCACCAACGAGTATACGTTTTACGAAGAATTTTAAGAAATCAATTAGAACATGGTAGAATTTCAATTTCTGCACATAGAATTTTGACAAAGCCGATAACTTTTTTGAAAAAAATTAAATTGACGTTGAATCCAAAATTGCAATAATGTACAGGGTATTCCATTTAAAATAACGAAGATGACGTCAACTTCCGGTATAACCGGAAGCGTTAGGTGTACGCCATTATTGTAGGTGTGAAGGGCA